CCGAATCGGAGGTCAAACCAACCTCGAGGAGATCAAGCAATTGCCAGCTCCCAAGGGGAGGCCGGGACGGCCTTTTGGGTGCCAAAACCAAAAGAAGAGGAATTTGTCTACTGAACCTACAGCTGATGAGGATGGCAAGAGAGAATCTCAAAAGAGACAACGACGGACCCGCAAAAGAAAGCGCCAGGATGACGCAGTTGAGGAGCCACCTGATCATGGTGACGGCGCGGATGAAGATGAGTGGAACAAGAGGAATGCTTCCATTCCTTTGAAAAGGAAATGCGAAATTGTTGAGTTTGCAAAGGAGCTGCAGAAATCCGACAGGTGTTTTCACATCGAGAAGGAGGTCGTGGCGCAATTTCCGAAAGAGTTCAAGTCCCTTGAGTCCAAGAAGGGAGGCTACAAGAGCGGCTTGCTGGGCAAATGGATGAGGCCTGCTTGGGTGAACATGGAAGTTGCAGAGGGGTATATATTTATATATAATTGGGTTAGAATTGTATTTGGATAGAATCTGTTTTGTTTGTTCTTTCAGGTAAAGGTTCACCAAAGCGCTTCAAATGGAAGAAATATAAGGAAATTGCTTATCAACCAAAACCATTCTGTGCTGTGCTGGATGGGACGCTGGGAGGGAGATCCATTTGTCATGGAAGGACATACGAAGCCGAGCACCATGAAAAGATTCCTTGGAACATGCTCAGCAAAGCAGATGTCCTTTCTATGCGCCAGCTACCTAACTGGCTACGCAAGGCCCTTGGTTTGGAGGAGCGCTTTTCCAAGGGCCACGAGAAAAGAGTGCCCTTTGCCGTGGAAGCAGCCCTGAATGAAGTTCTTGAGCGTTTGGTTGCAGGACCGGAGAGGGACTTGCAAACGGCTGGCAAGATCAAAACGGCCAACCTCTTGGAAGTTGCAAAGTCATTGCTGGCAACGTGGACGGAGCTGCATGATGAATATTGTCAAGAAGAAAGTGCAAAGCCATTGAGATTTGCGAAGAGTGTGGACAGATTCTGGGTGCACAGGTTTTTGCACCATTGGTGTTGGAGCGTTCAAGCCTCCAACACGCGCGGTGCATATCTACCATATGAGTGCAAGCTTATGGAAGATACCTGCCTACAATCTGGAGTTTTTTGCAATTTTTGATATGAGTTTAATAAAGAATTTCCACAAAGTTTTCCTAGGACAATTTTCAAGTTTTGAAGCTCTTATCAGTTATATATATATATATCGCTTTTGAAGGGAACCTGTCTCATTTTCCTGGTTATATATCTTCCATTTGATTGGCCTGCACGGCTGTTTCCTTTTTGAATTTAGAACAGCTGGGCAAGGAAACTCGCAAGACCCATCGGGCACAAAGAGAAATGGAAAAGGTTCCCTGGGCATTGGTGCTCAACTACGACCAAATGTGGCGTGCCGGGCACGAGCCTCCCAAACGTGTCTTGCACAAAAAGTGGCAGAGGAAACAAATCGAGGGCAAAGGTGACATTCGGCCTGATTTTGTGAAGGGGAAGAGGCTCAATGCAGTTTTGGAAATTGTCGCAGAAGAGATGCAGAAAAACATGGCCAGCGGGCCGCAATCAAAGCTGCAGAGATCCGCCGCCCGATCCGAGATGGTTCAAGGTGGAAGGTTGGGCATTACAGCCATCACATCAACCTGGGGGAACGGGGAAGTCGGGCCTTTAGGGGTCTGCATCCCATCTGGCCGAGTCTCTGCCAGTTGGCTGAAGGCTTTCAATGATGAGTGGCATGCCCATGTTCTGGTATTTGAGAGCGGCTCAGAGTCCCATTTTATGACCAGTGACACAACACTGGTCTACTTTGAGGAGCTTCTAGGCCCAGCACCTTGCCTTGCGCATAGCGCCCTTCATTTTCTTCCATTTGGTTAAGCAAAGGATGTAGTGTCAGTGGTGGGTAATTACGAGATGCAAACCACTTCAAATTGAATCCCCAAGGCCATACAGTTACGCCGTGCTCATCTGAAGTTGGATGGGTCGGTGCCAGCCATGCTGATATGCGACGCCTTTACAGGCAATTTTGCATTCCGGTCCAACGAGGACAAGCGAAGAGAGCGATGGGGCACTGAGGTGAACTGCATCCTCCCGGTTAAACCGCCGGGGGGATGGTCAGCAGCTGGACAACCGTGTGATGCATTTCACGGGCTCTTCCGGCGCTTGTGCAACTATTTCACAGACGCACATCTTGGTTACCATGTCCCTGGCCTGGAGCGATTCGACTCACCGGTTGAGCTAGGTGTGAACGGCCAAAAGCATTTGGAGATCAGTCCAGAGGCATCAATCAAATCTTTGGTTTTTGGCTGGCAAGAACTACAGAAGTATCCGTCTGTGATGTGTTGGTCATGGACCTCGCGCGGCTTGGTGACGGATGAGGAAATGCAGGCTCTTCGGCCAGAGGTCTTCAAAGATGGCAAGGCGATCAAGTGTTCTTCCGCCACATTGAAAGAGCTTGTGCCAGGGATTCCTTTGCTGTTGCCGTGCCTCGCCCGCATCACTTTTGAAGTCAACCTGGCGTTCTGGGGTTCAAATGGAAGATATAGGAAATGGGCTCCCGGAGTTTGCTCAACAAGGTGTTTTTTGAAAGGTTGGTTCCAACCCCTAGCATATTCTCAGCAGGACCGGCGGGACCTTCCTTCTATTCAAATGGATATATATATATATATATGCATGTATACTATATATATATATTACTATATACTCTAATTTATATAATCCAACATTGTCTCCCGCAGTCTACATTGCATTTCAACATACTGTAATTGAAAGAGTTTGGAGAAGAACAGATTCTGGGTTCCAACCCGTAGCTTTCTGAGAAAGGCCTTCTGTTCAAATGGAAGATATCGGAAATTGGCTCCCGGAGTTTACCTTGGTGCATGTCAACAAGCTGTAATGTAAAAGGGTTTGGAAAAGGAGCTTCCTGGTTCCAATCCTTAGCATTCTTTGCAGGGCATTCTGTTCAATTGGAAGATATAGAACATTGGCTTCCGGGGTTTGCAATGGTGCAGGCCAACTATTCCGCAAGCCCTTGCAGAGAGTGTTGAAGGGCGTGCTGTCCATTTGTGGCAAATGAGGGACCCCCAGATAGATGAGCTCGATGGTAGTGAATCTGGGTTCGAGGCGCAGGTCTGGGTACTGCTGCCGGCTCTCATGCAGCAGTTTGTGGACAAGCATTTTGCAGCCTACCAACTACAGGTTGATGAAGCGACCAAGATGTTGAACAAAGGCAGGATCAAGCAGCAGAAGTACGATCGCATCATTGCCGACGCCACCAAGCCTCTTCTCCTAATGCATGGGTCAGGGCAACCTGCGACTGCAAGATATACGAAAGACCATCTTGTGACTGAAGACAACGGCCACATGAGATTGAAAGACCCTAGTCTGGGCAAGTTTGTTTTGCCAAGTATGGGTGACGGTGAAATCGGTAAACAACTTTTACAACACGCAAGTTTTTTTGGGGGGGGGGGAGCTTTTAGGCGCATCTCCGACAGCCAAGGCCGGTTCAAAATCAACATTGGTCCTCTTCAATTTCCAGAAGCTGGAGGTCAAGCTTGGGATCTTGCAATGGACTCCCCTGCGCGTGGTGAAAGCAGAAGTTGGGATCGGCAAAGTGACTCTGGAGCTAGACCCAGCTTACATCAAGCAGGCTGGATGCGTCCCTGGCTTTGAGGAGTATGCGGATTCGGGTAGTGATGGTCTGCCCGAGGATGAACCGCCGCCGGGTGAAACCGCAGAGAATGTGGAACACATGGGCGTCATTGTGCCCTTTGCGCAGCCTGATGAAGAGTTTTGTTCGCTCCAGCAAGGATTGGAGGATCTCTTGGCTGAGATGGAGGGCCTATCTTCTGATGAAGATGCAGATTCCCAGGATGAGGAGCATGTGGAAGTGCATTTTGATGAGGGTGGCAATCTCATTTGCAGTTGTGCTGAGGTGGAACTCGTAGATCCAATGGCCACTGCTGAGCAGGACCAACCTAGCGACAAGTCTGGTGGATTCAGAACCTCAGAGGCATGGCTCTACTTGCGCTCGGAGGGCCTCCAGAATGTTCCTGAGATCTTAGGCTGCGGATTGTGCTACAACAGGACGGTGTGGGGATGTTTCAAACGGAAGATATGTAACTCCTAGTTCTGTAAGGGTTGCCATGCCATCTGC